ATATATATATATATATTTGTATTATGTTTGTGTATCATTAGATATTTAATAGTAGCATTAGGAATTAATAAGCATTAAATATACAGGAAAAAAAGTCAAAATACAAACTAAATCAAAAGGAATAAACACATCAAACAAATACAAAAATTTCCACATAAATTATATTGTATGTTGTTATTAAAAATGATATTGTATACACATTGAACTTATATCAATTACTGCGTATAAAAAATAATCGGACACATAAAATAACTATGTGATTTTATGAAAAACAAACAAAACATAAAATATTATAATACTAAAAATAATATAATATTACAAAATATGTTTGACAGTAGATCAACATAAAAATGTCCAAAATATAAAAATACATCAAATTTTGACAAAGATGGTGAAATATTTATGTGAACATGTAAATCATTTAATTATAGACAAAATAAACACTAAATAACAATCAATTATCTTAAAACGAATACACACAAGATGAAGACAAAATAACTCTGAATATCAGGCGTATAACATGACAAAATAATATGTCATTAGCTTAACACCATCCTGCCTCGGAATCTTTCACCTCATAACACCACTTCAGTGGCTTCTAAGATCTCACAGTTTTTCCGATCAAGTAGAATCAGAAAAAATAAAATGGAAAAGAGAAGAAAAATGAGAAAATATTGTTACGTTCACTATATCTAGCACAACGATGAGTGTGCGTTTATCTATTTTGAAACAATTATAAGAAAGTAAATGAGAGTAAATATCTTTCCACTTGATTGATAGTTTTTAAGAATAAGTTGATGAAAAATTACCACATAATACCATAGGCTCGATTCGTATAACATGTCCCAAACAAGCATGAAGTGAACCCTAAATACAGCCACCAAAACGTTCAAACAATTTAATAACTTCTAAATCATTATAATTAATATTTTATTTTTAATGAAACCAAAAAAAAATTGACATTAATTTTTTTTGTTAAAAAACTAATGTAGTGAAAATATATAATATAATGAAAACAAATAAATTTGTAATTATAATAAATAAAATTCATGAGAAAGAGGATAAATGAATTTACACTATTAATCTTTATACATTTCATTAGATTTATACCAACGAAAATAAAAATACTGAATCTCACAGATTTTTGGTTTTCTTTTTGATACCAAATTAAAGGTTAACCTAGAATACAAAATGATATAAAAATAATTAAAACTTAATACATAATGAAAATAATTTAAAAACCAAGAACTAATAAGATATAAAAATAGACTAATTAAAATTTAATTATGCTATGTAATATAACTTGAGTTTAATGAAAAGTTTATTTCCTGTGTTTAATGAAAAATTTAATAAAAATTTAATAGTTAAGTAAAAGTTACAGAATACTTAAACATATTCAAAATAAATAAAGAAGTCTATAAGTTTGGAAAAACGAAAAATCTATTATCATATTGTTTTCCTTTACGTTTCATCAAACCTAAGGAAAAAAAGATTCACACACTAAATTTTCTTTCCATTTTAGGTAAATAAGATCAAATTTAGAATAATTATCAAAAATTATTCAAACAGTAAATAAGAGTAATAAATAACCAAACAATATTGGGCATTTCTCTCAAATAAAACTTTTTAATTTTTATCACAAAAATATACCTTAAAAACTAAAATGGCCAAATTAACATATTTTATTTTGAAAATTTTAAGTTTTTTTTTATTTTTATTTTTAAATTTGAAATCCTATCCCCAAAACTCCACTCCTCAACTGTAAACAAATAGGTATATGATTAGTTAACCCAAAGGATATAAGTATATATTTACTTATTTTTAATAAAATATTTAAGTCTATTTTGGTCATTTTTACTTTTAAGGTCTATATTTTTGACAAAAACATTTTAAGGTCTATCCTAGTGAATTTCTCAACAATATTTTACAAAAAAATGAAAATATAATAATAACACACAACAAATAAAGAAATAAAAGTCGAGACAAGCCACAATACACAAATAATTCTATGCAAAACACATAATGATAATCTATGACATACAAAATGTGGATATTAAAAATTTTGAAATTCGAAATACAAAAAAAATAATTATATAATTGTTCAACTACTTATCTTTTATAATATATTATAATATTTATATATCAAAGTAACATACAACTTATATAATTAAAATTTCAACGAAAAATCTAAGCGTAGCCCAGGCCAGCCCTAGTATCTATTATTATAAAGTAGACTTTTTCTACTGTTATAATGCCATGTCATTAAATCAATTACTCCCAGCATGACACCTGTCGAAGAAGGGACAAGATACTGCGTTTCAATTTTGTTCACCTCATACGGGCTTTTAGTGTTTAATGGCCATACAGATTTTCGTGACCTGACCCGATAAAGCAGTTAGGTCATGTTGCATCTCCCTCGACTTGACGAAATTAGAGTTCTTCATCACTTTCTCCGTGACGCTTCAGATATCTACTGTACAGAAGACTTTTCACCGGAAACGGACTCAGAAGCATTAATAGTCACATTAATTCTCACACCACGATTTGTAATCACGCTCATCTTATCTTCTGAGAGTCGGTCAAATAATGGTTACATATATGTACTCTTACTTGCCTTGAAAATCATTCACAGACTTTCTCATCCTACTTAAATACTCTCTAATGGCTTACTCTATAGCTTTTTTCTCCGAATGGAAGTCCGGCCGGTGTACCTCCATGTTCGCCTTATGTGGGTCGACATGCTTATGGTCAACGTTAATGTAAGAATCTGCTTTATATTCCTGTAAATTTTGAAATTAATAATTCCAGCTAACTGTTTTCCTGATGATCGTCGGTTTTTAGATTGAACCGTTTCGAAGAGATAACTGAACCGGTTTCTCCGCTTCCTGCAGAGGGATTCCGGATTCGTGATCATACCGAATTGATTGGTCTAGCTAGCACGAAAACTCAGCTCTCAGGTATCTATAAAAATGCTTCTCAAAGACATCTCCAGAAAATTATTATTTATAGATTTTCTGGTTGCAGACGTTATGGGTGAGCTTATTGCGGTGAAGAGCACTGTGAGTGATCCTCCAGCAGATAAAATATATTAATAAGCCTACACTCACATCTTTTTGAGCTTATATGATCATCATGTCTTTAACTGTATCAGATTGTTCAATCGTTCTTTGATGTTGTGACGGATACAAGTACTTTCGTTGTATTTGGGAGTGAGCTTGGTGTCTTTTTTTTACTGAGATCAGTTGGTGTTTTGATGGGAATGCTTCAACACGAAGAATCTTATTTTTTAAAACGGAGAGAGATATTGCTTCGTGACTCTTTGAGTACAAATGATATGGATGAAAACTGCATTGGATCTTTTTCTGAGTCATTACCAATTCCACTTTCGTGCCATCTCCTTAACCTGATACTGAACGCTGCTTTTAAAGTCACCAAGCAGCTCCAAAGGTGGAGAATTTTTCAGCTGGTATGCTTTGAGATTTGTGTAATACTACTAAGAGGCTTTCTTCACAAAGTGTGGAGCATCGTTCATGTGCTGTTACTTTCCTCCTCCCTGCTATTTTCAATGCATTCTCTTCTCAGTCTTCTCTGAAGATCTCACTTT